GTGACGCACAAACTAATTTAGCTATTATTTTTGAATACCAATTAAAAATGTTACAACTAATTTTGTATTTATGATTTGCATATTCTATGTGAATCGTATTTGCATATTCGACATTGTTGTATTGAATCTGAATCACTATAAATGTACCATGTATCATTGAACCACATAACATCTTTGTATATCATTGGCATCTTTTCATTAACGAAGGAGACTAAAGTAGCAGCAATGTCAGGTACGTTTAGACATACCAATCATTTTTCATATAAACATTGATACACTTGTTGTTTGTTTGTTTGTTTGTTGTAAAATGTTTAGCAATTGCTGAATTTTAGGCAAAACTAAAGACAGTGTAGAATTTTTTCTCGGCAACGTAGACTCTCCGTCACCGAAATCACAGCAAGGTAATTTACACTCAAGGTAGCAACAGGATTAAATCGCATTATTGATGATTCAGACATTTTATAAAAAATACTACTGCATGCTACTATGATAACCTATATATCATCTGAAAGCTTAGATATAGGTGATAGCACACGGATCAGACCAATGTTTGTTTAAGGGGTCATCTGACGGCCTGGATCGCCATATTTTTTTTTACTATTTCGACTTTTAAAACACCGTTTTAAGACTTCCGAAAATTCGTTGTTCTTAATATTTCTGTAGCTATTTGGTCGTAGCTCGAAAGCTGAGGCAGTTGAAAAAAAACGAGAAGAGATCCCCCGAGCCTACACTCTGTGCATTTCACATGTCATTCACGTAAACAATTTTTAACATGTTCTGTCCCTTTGCAAATTTCGCATTATCTCGGTCAAACTAAAACGTGTTTATACAGTGAAAAACACACGGCTAGGGTGATCATGGGAGAGAAATCGTGTTATTTTGGACAACTGTGGCTTTTGTCCGTATAAATGTAATTATCTGCTTAAATTTGGAAAGTGTTGAGCTACGACTTTGGAGAAAACATCTTGCTGGTCATGTCTGACAGTGTGTAATATGTCTATACTTGGTACATGTTGGTGCCTCGGTTCCAGAACCTTGGATTTATCATAAACCTAAACTGGAATGTTATGTAATTAAAGCTTGACAAACAACTGTATGTATTTAGCAGAATTAAGTAAATATCACCAACGTCTTGGTGTTTTTTGTTTTCTCCATACACAGCAGAGAAATATTATTTTTGGATTATCACATTAATTCATTTTATACAATTATTTAATTATTCAGCACATAGTAAAACTAACCCTCGGGATATTTACATAGCATTTTTTAAACAACGATTTTGTTTCGAAACCCACAAAGAGGTTTAAAACACGATAACACGATATCTTGAAAATTGATTGAATTATTATAAGGATCTTAAACGGTTGTAATTTCCATGCATTCCTGGTTCACTTGAGGTGATATAATGATGTTCTGATTATTAATTGGTAAGCTCGTTTTAAAATACGGAAACGACAAAATAGTGAACTTCCCGTAACGCATACGCTGAATATCCCCCCTCCTTTGAGTGTATTATGTTGGGTATGTTATGGTTAAAAGCGGACTAAAATATACATAATTTGTGAGTGGAAAAGATACCGTACCATACGAATCAAACAGTTTTTTCGTGAATCGCTACAGAAATATAATATAAAAAACAAATCCGAAATAAACATCGCATACATTTTGGTTGAATCTAAGAATACTAACTAGACAGAGTTATTTTATTGCAGGAGCCATGAATAAGAAATACGTCATCTTGCTGGTTGTCTTCATGGTTTTATCTGTCTGTGTCAGTAACTGCCATGGATACTTTCGTGTTGGAAAAATAATTAAATCGGCCTTCGATGAGTCAAGGTAATACACATTCTCCGTTTATTTAACACCTACATCTCGATCGTCCTTTCATATACCATCGTCACAATTAATATCTATGTATCTCATAGTACCATATGCTGTATTATAGAAAATTGTGCTGAACACTATTTTCATTATAACAATTATAACAATAAGTTTTTGCTCCGTCGTACGTACCCGATATATATTTTGAATTAGCACATGGCTGATAGCCCTCGACCAATCGGAGTCGCGATAAAGTGTGGTTCTATTTCACCACGAATTCACTTAGATCACGGTTGAAAAAAAAACGCAAGAAAACAAAGGATTTTCATTGCAACAATATATTTATAACGCCAAGATCAGATACAAAGTATCCATTGAGTTATGCTCGATTCAACTGACACTACTGGCAGCACTTAGGCCATCGTTGCATGATTTTGACAAAATGTAACATAATGTACTAAAATGTTGTTTTACAAGTTTGATTGCTGTCAAAATGTCATCATCTTTTCTCGGGCTGATTGGCCAATGCTAAGTCGGTTAGATCGGTGACTATGGGAATTAGAACTCAAATTCAAATGTATCATACCATACGAATCTTTTCATCGGTGTCACGTGTTAGAGTAAGTCATCAATCATGCCATTTTGCTCATCTGATGTTAGTCGTTCATACTATTTATAATATTTGTTTTGCCGCGATTGGATTGATAAATATACCTTAAAACATTACTTACATTGGAGCTAATTATGGAGTTTTTGCATGAAAAAGACAATTTTAAAATTTTGTTAAATTTGCATATTTATATTTAATCTATTCTGAGACTATTTATACAATACTACTTTATTTGCCATCATCGTATCCAATCATATAAATATATATTATACATTAATTATAATTAAAAGAATACGAGTCAATTAGCATTTGTATCATTTGATTTGTTTCAGGTTGAATAACAATCGTGTAGAGCGAAGTGCAAGCGTAATAAACGGCGACAAAAAACGAGATGATGCGAAATTTAAATAAAGTGGATATTCGATCCAGCGTCTTAGACACAAGTATATTTCAAATAAGAATGGTGTTAAATGTATTCGATATACTAGGTGAATAAATATAGCATGGCAATTGAATTACTACAGTGTTTGTGTGTCAGTATGTTCAGTACTAACACTGTTCTATTCAGGAAATATATATAATCACATATAGAAATGGCCAGGAAATCCAGCATCTTAAAGGTGGAATATGGACAAGAATAGGTTTGTAATATTGTTGTTCATCTAAAGAATACTGTTGTGTTTCCAGCAAACACAAGAAGTTCAGTTGTTGATAATCATAATTTCATTTGGTCTACATTATGGAGCATTTCCATCAGTTCATTCACTCTGCCTTTGCCCCATCACCAATATAAGAATGATGATCATCAGACAATATTTGAAAAATGCGAGGGCATTTTGAAAATATTTCGCGATTTTAATTCTTGACGTCATCAATTTTGGTAATTACATGACAAGACATGCACATTTCCCCAATAACATTATTTTCTCACAATACAGTAGTGCATGTTACACCTATACATCAACTACTTTGCTAAATTTTAATAAAGCGAGAACTGTTTCTATACAGAACACAAATGCTATCAATGTGTATGATGGCGTTGTATACCTTTTTTTTTAAATTTTGGTCAGAATGAAGGTTACGTACATTTTGAAATCAGCACACTCATATATGTGGATAATTTAGAGCAGTGATGCGAGTGAAACAGGTGCATTTGTGTTTCAAGTTTATATGCTCGTCATGTGCCAGTAATTTATATTGAATGACCTTCTTTGCATAATCACATATGTTTTTTATACAACTACAATTGTCGAAACAGCTGTAGTACAAACGACTCAGACTGCTCACTATTTTTCTTTGTTGATGAAAAACGATAGTTGTTTGTTGTTCATTCATTGATGGTATTGATGTGATGCAGTTATTACCCAAACCAGTAGATGGCATACTGAGTAATTTAGTTGAATAAAGCGACCAATCGATGCAATAAACGCAGTCAGTGAGGATCTTTGTAAATTGTAAACTCTACTGTTCATAATATGAATATTATGAACAGAATATTTACATTGCTACTACAACAGTTGTATTTATATGACAAGTGTAATTGCTACAGATAATCACAGCATATTTTGTAAACCAGCATTGTCTTAGCTAAATAACCGTAATAAATAATTTTGCAAATCACAATCATAAATTAGATTTAGTCATCTGGGGTTGATGAGGTTTCTTAATTATTAAAACAAGCAGCTTCTCGGCTGAGATAGCTCCGCTGTTAGCAATGCACATTTCAATTAAAAAACAGAAGATATCATTAGAAAATGAACAATAAGTATAGTATCAAAGCAATCAGACTTGTGGTTTTTACAGTAACAAGAATTTGAAAATACCACTTTTTACCAAAAATATTCACCAAAATTAGAGAATTGAAAATATCACGAAATGAACAAATCTGAGAGGTCCACATGTAGTACCTACATATGTAATATCAAAGCAATCAGACTTGCGGATTTTAACAAGAAGTCGAAAATTTATACCACTTTTTACCAAAAATATTCACCAAAATTAGAGAAATAAAGATATCACAAAATAAACAAATCTGAGAGAGGTCCACATGTAGTACCTATATATGTAATATCAAAGCAATCAGACTTGCGGTTTTTAACAAGAAGTCGTAAATATCACTTTTTACCAAAAATATTCACCAAAATTAGAGAATTGAAGATATAACGAAATGAACAAATCTGAAAGAGGTCTACCCAAGGTACATATACACCAAGTACCAAGGCATTCAGACTTGTAGTTTTCAAGAAAAAGTCGAAAAAGTAAAATATTGACACAGACGAACAATCACTCGTATGATAAGCTCCGCTCGACAAAATCGACAGCGGAGCTAAAACGTTGGCCATACGCTGTGCACTGGCAATGCAACAGATTGCTGAATCAATGGTTCTTTTTATAGCATCCCAAACACACAGATGTAAACCCAGTTTTGATCAGAGTCTTGTACAATGTACTTGACTTGGACCAAAACTGTAGGTTTATATCTGAAAACCCAAACTTGCTTGTTGTGTTTCTAATACATATATACAAGATGTAGTGAAATAATAAGTAAACCAACATGCATGACAAAAACAACAATTTATCATTATTACTTTATTTACAAATAAATTCTTTACTATTGAACGTTGTTTCTTTAAACATAATAGATGGCATATGATCAGGTTTCTGCTTTCGAATATAAATACTGATCTCCGTCTGTTAACTGCACTTATTTCAGCACATCATAACATGATTGGGTTGTTTCAAGTGAAGATGAATTATTAAAACATCAGCACAAAAATGAAATACAAAAATAAATATGTATTTATATGATGTGTCAGGGGTTCATTCTACTCCTCAGAATCCCAAAACGGGTTAGCAGGATGTGGGACAGCTGGTTCACTACATGAACCAATTCCCTGTTGTAGTTCATGATTACTCTGCTCATCACTACTATCCTCTGTTACCAAATGTTCTAAACTGGTTCTGAGATTCGGCAAAGTTCGCACAGATGTTGTAGACCAGTTTTGATGCAAATTTAAAGTAACAATATAAGGTCTCTCGAAAAGCGTCCTTTGAGTGTGGATATCTGGCAATATGCTGGAGTTGTATGTTTGTTGTGTCCGTGGGTATATTATAGGATCGTTCACAATTGGTATACTTGACCAAGCGCTGAATGAACTGTGATCAGAATCAGTCTCAACGTCTTGATTATGATTATGTTCATCACTTTGGTAAACACAAGGTCTAGCTCTCCTGTCACAGTCGTCCATAGCTAACTCAGAAAGGGCACATTTCTGTTGAGGTACTTTCATGGTGAAATCCTGTTGTAAACGTAATCTTATCAACTATTTCAAATTGAATGCTGCATATAGTGCACTGTAGGTAACTGTTGAGAGAACACATAAATTTAGGAATGAGGATTTGGTTACATGACAGTAACATTTGTAAAATAGGCACATAATGTTGACAAATCAATTATAAAAACAAGTAACAATAGTTTGACCATAACAAAACAAGAACAATACCACGATATGGAACATTCCAAGGGTAATTTGAAAACAACATTTGTTAACATTTTTGCCAAGCCTGGGCTCTCTCTGGAATTTGCTAGGTAATAGTAAATTTACTAATCAAGAAAAAAAAGTATTAGTAAACTTTTTCTGGAAACTGCGGAGCATTTTCCCGCGACCGAGCACAACGGGGAAGAGAGAAGGAGAGGGAGGTGTCCCCTCTGTCGTTAGCCAAAAACAAGAACAGCATGCTGAAAATGGTGCTTGCTAGTGCAACCTGAGCACTAATTTTGTGTGTAATTTCATGACATCAAATTAGGCAGTCTGCTCCACAAAATGTACCATTTATGATGGTACAACAAAACATCACAACAAAATATAAAATGTAGACACCAGAACCTTTATTTGAATAACTCAGTATTAATTAAACATATTCATGATAAGCTCACATTGTTAACAGTGGGGAAAATAGTCATCATTCAAAAGTTCACTGCCTAGAACACAAGTCTGTGAATAAATTTTCACGGGAAATTTCTCAGAAAAAAACTCTATGCCAATCAATATTACCGTAAAAACCCGCAAATAAGCGCCACCCTCAATTAAGAGCCACTCAGTGAAAATTTGTTACATTTGACCCTCCATTAAGAGCCACCAAGAGTTGAGTGGTTTTGTCAATAAGAACCCTGAAATAAGCGCCAGCCGCCCGGTTGTTTACAATCAGGCAGACACCGAGCTTGTCGTGCCTCACTTCCACCCTGCATTGTTTATTGCACCACAGAAGGTGTGAGACAAATAAAGATTATCCCCATAACTTGCCCGATGTCCTGTTTTCTAAGGTCTATGGTGTAATTGAGAACGGAAGAATGATACTAGTAGACGAAAGAAATGCACTGAGAGCGTGAATGTGACTGTCAACTTGTCTATTTTATATTTCTGACACACAATCGACCAATTCACAAACTATTTAGTAGTAACTACTAGTATGTTTTTTGCCGAAACACCGAAGGACACGTTGAGATATTCACTGCCAATGTTGTCTTTATAACAACAGTCCCTCCA